TAGCAATGATGGCCCACAAATCAAACGGTCAACGGTCAACGGTCAAAGATACGTGCCATTTACCACATTATTACTATACCTCGAACAGAAGAGCGAAGACTTAAAGACCTGAGTTGGGAGCAGGACTCGGGATTACTTGGGATTCGAGAGGTACTTGGTTTGGTGGCTGAAGTTCAAGGCTCGTCGAATTGACCCTCGACCTAACTTGCAGAGAGAAAAATACTATTTTGACTCCCAAGATTATCAACCTCATTTTAATATAGCTTTATAATTATTTGAGATATTTCTTTCTTTTAGTTATTATGTGACGTCATCTAATGACATCATCCAATCTCTCACCTGGCCTATATAAGGAAGTATTCCAAGGCCAGGAGAGGAAGAGCAAACAGGGAGGAAAACACCTCCTAGACATTGAGAGCTCCAAGCCTCTCTCTCATAGGTTGTTTTTACAACTCTTAAGCATTTACCAAGGGAGTCAATGGTATTTAGTACACTGCCATTCTCTTTCTCTCTCTCTCAAGTTTGCTTGGGCTTCCACCTCTCTCAGTCTACCTCGAATTCTATTATGTTGTCTGGATCACTTAGATTTGTGTATAATATCACTATTTATATGTATTTAATTGTGTTACGAAAACGAACCCCTACACTGTATACAGACACACATTACTGCACAAGTTTGCAAAGAAGTTCAACAAGGAAAGTGACATTTACATTCATTAAAAGGTTTTGTTTTTTATTTTTTTTATAAGTAACATTCATCAAAAGTAATTTCAAACTTTGCATAATTTTTCTATTAAGTAATATTACACAATAGTCTTAAACCAGGCATGCAAAGGCAAACTATTAAGCAAAATTTATTCATTGAAGAAGAAAGATGGGATTTGACAGAGTATAGAGAAGATTATGGACTAATTCACACTAAAGAGGTAGGAGAATTTGTCGGGAAAAATTTATGAAACAATTTTATAATTATAAAACATATATACATATTACTAAAATAAATAAATTGAGCAAGAACAGTTCTCCTGTTGTTACTCTCTGTATTCAAATACTTGGTCTTTATCGATAATTTACGTGCTTTTTTTAAGATTTTATATTTATTTTGAATCCCTATACATACAAAAATAAATAAAAACAATATCATACCAATCAAATCTTGCAGACTCTTCATGTGAGAGGGTTAATAAATAAATATATGTTACAAAATAATTTTTTGTTTTTTTAATATTTTATTTGGAAACAGAGGACTTGGTAGCTCTGGCTCTGGCCTCCTTGCCAACCCCACTTAATTTTGGAGTCCTAACTTTGAACCTTTGAAGCCTTAACAAAGATTCCTCCCCTTGTTTTGGGTGTACGAGGTGAACCAAGCTCAAACTCCTTTGCATGGTTTGGACTTCCATTTGATCCTTTCTCGAGAAATTTGCCCCAACTTTCTTGAAAACATCTATAAACTCATCATGAAGACCGGGAAAGATTTTCTTGAAGAATTCCCTTCGCTCAATATCGAGTTCGCGGAAAAATTCCAACAGAGTGAGCAGCCTTGAATCCACTGATTTTTCTGATTTCCATCGAGCCATATTGAATACTTTGATTTTCCTTCCCCGAAACCAAATTTGAATCATGTAAAATGAATAGTCTAGTGGAAAAGAAAAAAAAATAAGGAAGAGAAGAGAGGGCCCCGACTGTGAGAGAGGAATAAATGGGTTTGTGGTTAGGGCTGCAAATGAACCGAGCCGTTCATGAACAACTCGGGTTCAGCTCGTTAAGAGCTCGGCTTAGGCTCGTTCATTAACTAAACGAGCAGAGCATGAGCTCATTTTTCAAGCTCGTTTAGTAAACGAGCCGAGCTTGAGTAATGGTAAGCTCGGCTCGTGAACAAGCTCGTTTACATAAAATTAATTACATTTAAATTATTATATATATAAAAGCTTAGCCCATCCATGCAAAGGTAGCCCATATTACATATCTCTCATGGGCCCAATTCATATATAATCTTCACAAGCCCGTTCTTTTCTTCTTCTTCTTTTTCAGATTAGAAGCCTATTTTATTAACTAAATAGTCCAGCCCAACTCATGATTTAATCTCAGCCATTGAATAAATTTGTTACATCATAACTTAAACAAGATAGAAACCTTAAACTAGGTGTAAAAAACGTTTCCTTATGCGGCTGTGCCAACAACCACTTGGCAACAAAATCAAAGAACTCCATGGCAACAACAAGGTTAGTTCTCTCTCGTCTCCTTCTCTCTCAACTCTGATAATATTGTGATAGAACTAGAGATCAATGGTTATGGGATTTGGAGCTGACAAATCTTTTCGATCTCTTTCCTTTCTTCGTTGTGCTAAATTTTTTTGATAGAAACTGGAGATAGAAATCGATGGTTTCAGTTGGAATTGGAGGATGAATATGGGAGATTAGATGGGAAACTCAGAAGTCGACGATCTAACAACAGCGCAAATTTGTGCATCAGAGGTCAGACCGCCATGGAATATACACTTACTAGCAGAACCGAGTCGAGCCCGAGCCCGAGCCTGGTTAAGCCAAGCTCGGCCGAGCCCGAGCCCGAGCACTCCTCTAAACAAGGCAAGCTGAGCTCAAGCATGGTAAAGCTCAGCTCATTTGCAGCCCTATTTGTGGCCAAAAAATATTCTAAGTCCTCCTTTATATAGTGCTAGTCAAACGGCGGATCCCGTTTCCCACTTAATTGCTTAAAACAATCTGTTTAAGTTCCGAACACTCTCAAACGACACAAAGCAGTACAAAATAGATAATCCCAACATAAAAGAAGAGCACTGTGATGTCAAGAAATTTTCCGAACACGAAAATCTGTTGCAGTGCTGACCCGGCACCTCCCAAACAACTCCCGGAATACCATGGCACACATCCCCATGCACAAACAAAATAAAAAAGAAAAATATTGAAAAAATCCGGGACATCACACCCCATCAATTCCACAAAATAAAAATATCTCAAAGATAATGCTGCAATTGCCCCAAAATATAATATGTACGACCAATATGTTCCAATGAAATAAATGATAAGTGTTATGAACTATTCCTGAACACTTGACCTGACCCGGACCCACATAACCCTAACGTGAAAATGAATGCTTGAAAAAGAAAAAAGAAATCACAGTACCCACAGTTATGGAAAATGAAGTGAAAGGGATTTGAACTAAGTCGATTCGCAAAGGAGAACATAAGCAAGCGTGATGCAAGCTCAGAGCACAAAAAACTAAAGTGCGAGAGTAGCGAAATCCATAGTTCGACACTTGAAACGATGTTTGCAGAATGCTAAGGATCGCGAACTGGACTTTAATAGCCTAGTAACCACCCACTCTATCCATAACCCAAGTAAAATTAATTTCCCTTCAACATAGGGACTGCTACCTAACTTTGGAAAGAATTAGGGGCAAAATATGGAAGAAAATTTCCCCTACAATGGAAGCGAGGCACATAAGCAAACAAGAACCCAATGGCAAGGCGATAAATGGACAGGTCCAAGCAAAAGGGACCTAGGCCCATCAGCCAAATAGACCCAGTTCATTTGAGGCAAGATACCCCAAAACGAGGAGGTCGATCTAGGCCCAGTCATCCCCCAGGTTCAGCCCACTTGTCGATCCAAGGTCAATGGCCAAGCCTACAATTAGGGCTGCAACTCGGGCTGATCCAGCCCGAATTTACCCGAGCCCAGCCCGAAATTTTCAGGGCTTGGGCAGTGTTTTTTTGTTCTAGGTCTGGGCTTGGGCTAGATATTCTGAGCCCGAATTAAATTCAGACTGGGTTTGGGTTGACATTATATAAAGCTCGAAGCCCAGCTCGAGCCCGATAAGGGTATATTTATTTTAAAACTATGTTATTTCACAAGTGTATAATAGCTTAGTTGGTATTGTATTTGAGATTTTTCTTGGAGGAATATTGTTCGAGTCCTTGTAGCTGCACAAATTTTTTATTTTTTACATTCTGAATACAGAGGCGTGGGCTCATGAGCGGGCTTCGGCAGGAGAAGTTAATTATGGGCTGGGCTTGGGCAAAAAATTTTGTACATGGGCTGAACCCGAATTAAGTCTCTAGTCCGCCCAACCCGCTCGAGTTGCAGCCCTACCAATAAAAGAAAGATCTTGAGGGACAAGTAATGCGATTCCTAATCAAATTTGAATATTGTAAATGAGTATAAATATGAGCTTAGTCCCTCAAAAGATGTATGAAAAAAATTCCAGAGCTTCTATTATTCAATTGTGTTCTTGTTAATTGTGTTCTTGTTGATTTATGAGTGTGTTACATTAATTTCGTTGACTATTCCGTGTTACAAATTTTTGCACCTACAAAGTAAATTGCAGAAAGTATTTTGGAACCAAAAAGAGAGCAGGCAAAATCACGGTTGTACGAAGGAAAATGACTAAATTGATAAGGGGGGCTCTCAATTCATGAAGGTATTAATTACCCAAGTAGACAATTGGGTAATATTTGATAGGAAAATGATATTTAGGCTTACTAGGTCTAGTTAAAAAAGACGCTCCATTCATGAAGATGTTAATTACCCAAGTAAACAATGGGGTAATATTTGATAGGAAAATAATATTTAGGCCTACTAGGTTTCGTAACAAAATAAATTTTTTTTTGAGTCCACTCTTAAATCCCTCCTGTTATATGCTGAAGTGCCAAAAGAGGTGGAAATAAAAAGGGAAGAAAGTAGGGTGATAGCTAACAGCGTGATTGGGGCACTTTAAGCACCAGGGTAGTTTTAGAATTTTATTTAGAAGTAATATTAACATTAAGATTCTTTTAAGTGACTGTTTGTTGACTAAAAGAAAAATATAAAAATAGGATCAACATCTAATATTTTTTTAAAAAAAGACCAATATCAAAACTCATACAAAATGGTGTAATTTAAGTATAAAAAAAAATTAAAAAAAAAAAAAACTAATTAATTTGACCTGCCAATATGAAACAATTTTATAATAAAACATATGTACAGAATATTAATATAACAAAAAAATTGAGTTAGGACAGCTGTCCTGCTATACTCTATGTAATCAAATACTCATTAATGTTTACAAATTACATGCTTCTTTGAGATTTTACATTTATTTTTAATCTCTGTGCATATAAAAATAAATAAAAATAATGTTGTACAAACCGAATACATTCACAGCTTTCATGTAAAAGAGTTAATACAAGTCGATAGTGTCAAAAAATAAAATAAAAAATACAAGTCGATACACTTATATAATATTTTGTAATAAATAAATATATGCTACAAAAGAGTGTAAAGTTCATCTTATTTTTTTTATTTTTTTTTTTCAGTACTTTATTTGGAAACAGTGGACTTGGTATCACCCTGGCTCTGGCTTTGGCCTCCTTGTCCAGCCCCACTTAAATCTGGAGTCCTAACTTTGAACCTTTGGAGCCTCAACCCTGATTCTTCCCCTTGTTTGGGTGCCCCAAAGCTCAAACTCCTTTGCATGGTCTGGACTTCCATTTGATCCTTTCTCAAGAAATTTGCACTAACTTTCTTGAAAACATCTTTAAACTCATCATGATGCCCGGGAAAGATTTTCTTGAAGAACTCCCTTCGCTCAATATAGAGTTCCCGGAAAATTTCCAACAGAGTGAGCAACCTTGGATCCACTGATTTTCCTGATTTCCATCGAACTATATTGAGTTTTTCGTGTGATTTCCCTTCCTCGATACCAAATTCTTGTATCGGAAAATTATCTTTGGATTCCCAAAATGGAGAATTCTCGGAATTTGATGCCATTTCATTTGTTGTCATCCTTGTACTCTCATCCATGGGATACCCAAATTCATATATGGTTTGTTGATGAGTTTGATGTGGCCTCACTGCACCATAAAGATCATCCATGGACATGTTGTCTATGTGAGCTTAATAGAAGAAACATAAGGTAGTAAGGTAGTTGTGTGTGTGTGTTTTGAAGGAATGATTGGAGTTGCTTGTTGGTGCTCAGGGTTTGCCTTGTTTGGGATATAACACACACACACACACACACACACACACACATATATAGGGATGGTTAGAGAACTTATTGAATAATCAAACTATAGCCTATAAAAATCAAGGACTTGGTCGTTATTCTAAGCTACGCGTAGCTGAGTGTCATATATCAAATAGATGGTTGCGAGATTTAATCAACTATTATGTGGAGTTTTTGATAATAAAATTTAATGAAATAGTCAATTTTGTATGCTTGTGACAATTAGCTGTGGAATTTCGTCATGTGGACCGACAAATGGGCTTTCAAAGTTATTCCTACACTGAATGGATTTGCATGAGAAAAGTATAACCCTCCTTATTTGACTTGAAACTCTTTTTGATAAAAAATAAAAAATAAATAAAAACAACAAACATGTTAGAAACTTAATATAAACTCTTTTTGTTTGTGGAAATATGAATAAAAGAAGAGAAAAAAAGAACAAACAAATATGCATCAAACACACTTAGGCCTACCATTGCACCACTCAGTTAAATTAAAAAAATTGTAAAGCTCTGGGATTTATTTATTTTTATATTTTAAAAACTAAACTGATCACTGTTAAATACTAAAACAAAGAAAAAATCAATTAGGATTTATATATATCTGTGTAAGTCCTTTAACAAACATAATCAATCTCGGTAAAAAATATTTTTAGTTTTCTCTTTTATTCTCAAAATTATATAAAAAAGTGTTTTCAATTTTCATTTTTTTTCAAAATTCTTATTTATAATTCTTACACATTTGTGGAATGGAGTACCGCATACCCAAGAGTTGAAAAATGAGTCTTTCTGTCCCATTAATAATATAAAATGAAAAGGTGATATTATGCACTGGTGTGTAAAATAATTATTGTATGTATTTATTTAAATTTTATTGTACGGAGTACATATTTTTTTTTATAGTGTATTGTACTAATTAGATATAATGGTAGAGAAAAAAGCTTAATGATGATAGTAGTTTTGTTAATTATTTTATAAATTAATTGAATTAGATAATTAAAAATGACATTTGAAATTAAATGGTGTCATGTTAAATAAAATTATTCGCATTTAAATAATATTGACTGAAATCTCAAAATGTCAATGTAATTTACTCTTTCTTTAATAGTGATAAAAAAAAAAAAAACATTTTTTCGTGTTGCTTATGTGTTTTACTCCGTAATTTAATGTGCCTAATGTAAATGGATCAGTTTATGGACCATAAAATTTTTTACTGGATTCTCAATTTAAACTTTTTGTCATTATGCCCCATTTATAGTCGTTTTTTTTTTTTGTTTTTTTTGTTTTTTTTGTTTTTTTTTTTACTTTTAAGGCAAACACTGCAAACAACCAACCCAACTACAAAGACAAAGATAAGCTATCGCTGAAAGCACATTCCAATAATTGGAATGGATAGAACTGAAGCACTTGATCCTCAATCACATTAGGTTTTGAGAGATTAGCAGCCACATGAGCTAAAACATTTGCTTCTCGATGTACATGAGCAAGATGAGCCATAGGAAACCCTTCAAAGCAGTTTGTATGTCATACACAATTGCATCAATTTCAACTGGACAAGGTTGTTTCCCAAGCACTACAGCACACAAAATTGCAGAATCACTCTCAAAAAGAAGATTACGAAAGTGAAAGCGCATAATCCAGAGAATAGCAGTCCGTAATACAAACGCCTCTGCCATGAGGGCCAAGCAAGCCTTAAAGTGTTTAAGAATCATAACTTCCTTCAATACACCATTATGGTCACAAAAAACCACCCCACCACCCGCTAAACATCCGTTTTTCTTGAAGCCGGCATACATATTACACTTTAAAGCACCCACAGGAGGGGGATTCCAGGAACGGTAATTTGACACATTCCGTGCAGAGGAAGAAAAATGCTGATCCAGGATGTCTGAATTAGCATCTTTAAACTCCCAAAAAGCTGCAGTCGCCATCTTACTAACCTTATTCAGACAAAGCATAACCTTGTCAAACACAAAACTATTCCTGGCTTTCCAAATAGCCCATGCATAAAACGCCACCAAGCATGCTGCATCCTCCCCTTTCTTACACACCGATACCCACCAATCCGCAAAATTTGATATTGGCTGGGATGCAAAATCCAAACGTAAAGGAGAAAGTTTCCACACTTGCAAAGAGAAAGGACATACCAAAATACGATGCTCTACAGATTCAGACTCCTCATTACAACAAGGGCAGCCATCATCAAGACTTAGACCTCGTATCTTCAGCGCCACTTTTGTAGGAAGGTCTCCATGAACACACTGCCACAAAAAATATTTAACCTTAGGTGGGGCCAAACAACCCCAAACTTTTCCCCAACAACTATGTTGAAGCGGAGATGATGATCGATGGAGGACTTGCGTAGGATTTAAATAATACTGGAAAGCAACATGGTAAATGGACTTAACCGAAAAAACTCTGAACTCCGTAAAACCCCAACATTGCCTATCTTCCCTGCCCCACAAGCTGATCGGAATACTTTGAATAGCTGTGACAATCTCACTCAGAAACAGTTGGGACAGGAGTGAAGAACGCCAAGAATGATTGTCAGCATTAATAAGATCCGACACCTTTTCAACTGGGAAACATTCCGCTGATGATGGCAAAGTCTCTACGTTTGGCACCCAAAAATCAGTCCAGATGCCAATTGATTTTCCATTGCCCATGATCCATCTCAAACCTCTCTTAAGAATTGGTTTGGTAGACCAAATACTACGCCATGCCCAAGACGGGTTTCGACCCAAGGTAGCTTCCAAAAAAGAGCAATTGTGAAAATATTTGGCCTTATATATCTGAAAAGCTAAGCCTTGTTTTGAAACTTGAAGATTCCATGGGTGCTTTGATAGCAAAGCAAGGTTGTAAGCTTCCACATCACGAAAACCTAGCCCTCCCTCTTTCTTAATCTTGCACAAGTCGTCCCAATTGGACCAGTGAATAGACCACCCCTGGTTTTTCTTCCTCTACCAAAATGATCAAAACTATTTCATGAGTTCATCACAGAGGAGTTTAGGCAACCGGAAACAAGCCATGACATAAGTCGGAATTGCACTTAGAACGGCCTTTAAAAGAACCTCATTTCCGCCCTTACAGAATAGAGAAGATTTCTAAGAGGCCAAACGATCCTGCACTTTTTCAGAAACAAAGTGGAAAACCTCACTTTTTGAACGACCAATGACTGCTGGCATACCTAAATACCTTGCTTGCATTCCTTCTTCGGTGAGACCCAGTATGTGGCATAGTTGTTGCCTCACCAAAAAGAGCGTATTCTTAGAAAAAAAATATTGACGACTTAGAGAAATTAATCGACTGGCCCGAGGCCCTTGTATAGGCCTACAAGATTCTCGAAAGGGATCGGGCCTCCAAAGTTGCCACTTGACAGAAAATAAGAGATTCATCTACAAAAAACAGGTGTGAAATAGATGGTACTCCAGGACAAATTCTCACATCAGTTAAAACTCGAGCTTGCACGGCTCTCTGAATCGCGCGCGACAAACTTTCTGCACATAAGATAAATAAGTAAGGGAACAAAGGATCACCCTGTCATAATCCACGTGATAGCTTAAAGAAACCCACAGGTTTCCCATTTATAACAAGAGAATATGACACGGTAATGACACATGCTGAAAGTAAAGTTACCCAATGTGGATTGAGCCCCATACGAGTAAGTAATGTAACAAGAAAAAACCATTCTAACCGATCATAAGCTTTAGACATGTCTAACTTTAATGCCAAGAAAGCCTTTTCCCCCTTGCGTTTACTTTTTAAGTAATACAATACTTCATAAGCTACCAAAATATTATCTGTTATATGTCTACCCGATACAAAAGCACTCTGCGTCTCACTAATAACCAAATGGAGCACCTTTTTTAAATGATTGGCAAGTACTTTTGCTATTATCCGATAGGCCACATTACAGAGGGAGATGGGACGAAAGTGAGATACCGAAGTGGGAGAATTCACTTTGGGGATTAAAACTAGATTAGTATGATTTAACCTGGATAACATAAAACCTGAATGCATAAAACTGGATATAGCATGAAAAATATCATTTTTAAGCAACCCCCAATATTTTTGGTAAAACAAAGGCGTCATACCATTAGGCCCCGAGGCTTTTAGTGGCGACATGTCACAAACAGCCTGGTAAATTTCCTCTTCCGACAATGGCATCTGTAATTGAGTATTCATCTCTTCTATAATAGTAGTTGGAATATACTGTAAAAATTGGTCAATATTCGAAAGGGATTGAGAATGGAAAAGGGATGGAAAATAATTGAGAAAAATATGTTGCACCTCCTCCTCACTCTCAATCCACCTCCCATGACCATCCTCTACCCCCGAAATCTGGTTGCGAGCCCTTCGCCTGACAGTAGAAGCATGAAAGAATTTGGAATTTTTATCACCCAATTTGAGCCACTGAACCCGTGATTTTTGCTTCCAAAAAAGTTCTTCCTCCCGCCATAATTTATTGAGGCGACACTCTTTTGCAACAACAGCGTCGTGATCATAGGAATGCAAGTTCTCCTTAAGTTCTTTCAACTTACTTTCAGACGTTAGAATCTTTTCACAGGCGTTATACTTCTTCTGTCTTGCCCAAGCCTGCAATTTTTGTTTACATAATTTGAGCTTTGTCGCCCAGCAATACAAACGAGATCCATGCACACTAGAATTCCATGTTTCCGCAATTAAGGCTTAACAGTCTAGGGCTCTGAAATCCACCTAGCATCAAAATGGAATTGTCGAGCCTTAACCTACACCTGAGGAAAGAAGCTTTTGGAAAAGTGATACGCCACTCCGGTGAAGCCAAAGCACGATCTAAACATTGTTGAATATTTGCCCCTCCACTTCTCTGATTATTCCAAGTAAATGGAAAACCTCGGAAGCCTATATCACATAGACCACAATCATTGATCAACTTTCAAAACTTTTGGAGGACCCAAACTGGTTTAGAACGACCACCGGTTTTCTCATTAGAGCACACTATATCAT